ATATAGTTTTTCTTTTAATTCTGTTATCGATCAAAGAGAAACTACTTTGGAGTAACTTTGCAAAATACAATTATCCAACGATACGGAACACACGCGTGTAAAATGACGATAAAGAAGGTTTCTGTTAATCGCAATCTGGTAAACAAGTAATCTGTTCCACACGCGTGAAAGCCAGTTTTACACGATGTATCTTTATTTCGATTACATGAAAAATTAAAAAAAAAGTATCGTTGTTAATAGATGACATTTAATATAAAAATATGAGTTATTTTGGACTGTTAAGGCTGCTATAATAATATCAAAATTAAATTTATATTTATTATTATATTTATTAAATTATATTTATTAATATTATAAATTATATTTATTAATTAATAAATATAACTTTACAGCCTAATATTTCGTGAAAAATTCAATTTATGCATCGCCAGATCCTTTCGAGAAATAGATGACTCGATTTCACTCTTCAATAAAATCTTTCGAATGTTGTATTTGACATAGAACGATCGAGACGATCGAGCTGGCGCGATGAAATCATGCGTGATAAAAAAATGATCCAAGCTAGTAATGAGTAGTTAGTACGAAGGGAGTATTTTCACGAGCGCGGTAAAATGTTTATGTCCTAAGGCAAGAAAAATGTAAGCCGACAATAATAAACCACTTTAGACACGATTTATGTCAATGACAGGCGAACGCTTGCAAAAATAGAACCATCGAACAGAATTCATCTCAGCATCATTACGGTCATTACGATCGCCATTAAAAACATGGAAATGCTCCCATCAAAAGAATCTTCAGCATAGCACTCCTATATTCTTTGCCGCATTAAGGGCTTATCAGTCTTAAATAAAATTTCGACTCTCTCTTGTTTAAATCTCTCGATACTCACAAACTTTAAGTTAAATAATAATAAGATTCGTAGATTAACTTTTCATTATTTTATACTAAATATAATTGACTATAAATTACAAAAAAAATTGAGGGCGTGACAGGAATATAAAAACGCACTGTAAGTAATATATTTCTTGAGATCGCGAAATGATTGACATGAAGAAAGTATGAAGAAATTCTTTAAAGACTTGATAAATAAATCTGGCTATATAAGGATAATTTAAATTGCTAACGTTATTGCTAAATATTTTATTCGCTTTATATACCTGATGTAAATTAAACTTAAACAATAATAAACAAATGGAACAAATGCAAATGGAAAAAATCTCAGCTCCATTTGAGAGAGGTTGTTTTTGGACATAGCATATCGTTCGCTATTCATTATAATAGTCGTGCACGTCATCGTATCTTCATCACCGAGAACATCGACCATCGAGATCATCGTACATGTAATACGATATCATAGTGTTCGTATTTATAACTGGACGTTCCACTTTCGAAGTTGATCGAACGCTAGATTGATCGGGAAATAGTATTCCTTATTTATTAATAAAAGCTCTTACCGTTAAATAATCATCGGAATAATTCTTAATAGTATGTAATTTACTCGGATAAAAATTAATAAAATTGCATATATATTACATATTGAATAATGTGGCTTTTAGAAGATTTATGATATTTTGCATTTAGCTGTAAAGTGTTACATGTTAGATGTTGCTGCTTAAACTTTACCATTTTGCAGTAATATATATTAATATATAATATATATTTTGCAGTAATATATTTTCGTAAAAAATGCTTCAAAGTACGATTATTTTATTAGAGATGCAAGGAAAAAAAAAGATATGGGATCAAAACTTGCGTCCGCGACTTCGAAAGTATGGAGCACGACGTAACAATAAGTAATGGGAAACAATACAATAATTTTTCATACAATTTTTACTTTTTACTACTATGATTACGTATCTGTATAATCTTATTCTTACCGTATACTGTATATTTAACCGCGACACGTATCAAACGATGCATTCTCCGACACGTATTAACAATGTCGCAAAAATTGCAAATCAATTCCACAGGATTCACAGTAAATTTTATATCAACGATAAAATTTATTCCACAAATATGCAAATTCTTAGAAATTTATTTCGCGCAATCACGGATTCACTAAGCAATTTAATAAATCATAGAAACGAGAATCTAAAGATGCGTATATATTCAAACCCCCGAGATATATAGAATCCGGCTATTCAAGGTGAAAAAAGATTCGCATCTTGGAATTGCAAAAAATCAAGAGAATTCAAATATTCATCAAAAATCGAAGAATCGAAAAAAGTTTTCCCATAACGTCGATTTATTTGAAAATTCTCAGCAATGTCCGAAGAAAAGATATGACTTGCACATTGACTATTAAACATTTTTACTTAAATAAAATTAATTGTTCACATGTGAGTCCTGTTGGGCTCCAGTTTTTGCGGCAATCTGTACTCTACACGCGTATATACTACGCTCTATAGTTTGTATCTCTAGCAGTTGCCGAGGATTCTCGATTATAATATTAGCACGAAATAAGTAAGCCCGCGTGTCTGTTGTGCGTATGTTACGTGTGCATCTACGTATGCAATTCAAGAGAATGAGAGAGAGAGAGAGAGAGAGAGAGAGAAAGAGAGAGAGAGAGAGAGAGGGAGGGAGAAAGGGAGAGAACGAGGACTCGCTTGTGTGTTTATCTCAAAAGCGATTCGCAATCGAGTATAATACGAGAGAGAAATATTATTTCCTGATACTATGAAGAGAAACGGCGATAAGCTTTGCGGATTTTACGAGAGTCTCGCGAGATCCCGAGCTACAGATGCGAACAAGAAGAATACCGTCTTCATGGCTAAGGTTCGCCACTCTGTATGGCTTACATGCTTTCAATGTGAACCATTCGTAAGCTAGATTTCGATGCAGAAAAGAGCGTACGATTGAATAAAGGACAATGAAGGAAGACGAATAGTCGCGCTGCGATCACTGCGCGTTCTCAATATTACACATGAGATTGATCACGAAGCAAAACTTGATAAAGTACAAATCTGTAGACAAACGTCGAATTTTCATTTTATTATTTAACATTAATAATATGTCGTTTCTTATTTGTGTGCCGCGCAAAAGAATTTTTATTTGATTAATACTTATTTTAAATTCATTTTTAATTTTCATTTTATGGTAATTTTTACCTTCTCCGCGCATTCATTGATCTCAATCTCTTTCGTGAATCGCGATTAATTTATATGTATCTATCATGCAATACAAATGTGCGAAAAAATTATTTTCCTTATATTTATTTTCTATTTATATTTCTTTTGTAAATCTGGGTGACAGATGAATTCATGAGAGCTTATTGCGCGCAGGATCGTAGCAGATATGCGATATCGCAAAGATTGTCTAACGAACCTTTCATTTGTCGTTGCACGGAGTGAAATCACATATAAAGTACAAGCGCTCTTACACAGATCGCCGTTAATGGAACGAGAAACCGATGAAAAGTGCCGGAAGAGAAGTTAGAGTTGACTGAGCGACGTCTAATAATAAGTATGCGTTACCGTTAACGTTATTTATTCGCCGTATCGATACCTGATCGCGCATATCACGTGACGTGTGTGACGAGAAATGGGGAAAAAGAGGGAAGAGAACTGTCGAAGGACTAGTCTCGCAAAAACCCACGTACATCGTATATACACAGTACCACTTTCGTACGGTTTTTAACGTCCGCCAGATTACGTATTATCGAACGATTTTGCAATTGCGTAAAACGAACGAGTAGTACTCATCCGCAAACTCGACTGTCCGTCCCCCAGCTGGACGGGTCGACATTGCCAACAATTTTTCAACGACTTCGTCCGAGTACTCGAGTGCTTATTCGCGATTTTCCATCTTTCTGCTTCTCCCTACGCTTCGACTTCAAGTCTCGGGATATTTCATTTACCCGGTATTCTTGATTATTTTTTAAATTTATTTTCTATCGAAATATATACATGGTGTATATTTCTAAGCACAAAAAGAATTTATGCAACATTTCATGATGTATGCAGAGAACTCTCTTTTATCATTCGGTAAATTTACAATCTCATAAATAATACGAACATTAAAATATATCTGATGTTTTTTAGAAACTTACTAGCGAGGATTTCTTAAAAAAACATGCTATCACATGGGGAACGCGTGAAACGTGGAAATTCGCGCGAGCACATTAATACATATGTTAACTTGAGCGATGAAGCAATAGATAGACCGCTCGAGAATCGCGCGATCGCGATCGAGACGTATCCTGGCAGGTGGACTCCGATAGCGATAGCGAACTATTGTATAACGATTAGCGATAGCACGAGCGGCCTCGATCATGCACCTTCGATCGATCGCGCGATCGAGCGGTTGAGTGAAATGACAATGAGAGAAAACAACCTCGAGCTGCTTGGTATAAAATAATTCAGCGCTTAAAAAGCCGAAAGAGAGGAACACTAATTATATCTCCGTAAAAATATCCTATAATATATTCAAAACAAAAAAAAAAGATAACCAAAGCATTGTAACCTTCTAGAGGCAAGGAAGAAATAGAGAAGTACCTAATCTTGTATGATTTAGTTCGACCACTGATTTGTCCGTGTGTGTTCGTTATTGAAATATGTTTCTTTAGTAAAAAAAATTTAAAAATTTACACTCTCGTGTATGTTTGTGACTTTCCTCTATATTTAATGTTCCTCATTCCTTCTTGCGACTTTATAAGATAAAAATGAATGGCACAAGTTGCATCACATTTTATTATTTAATTATTGTTATATAAATTTCATATCATATTTATTATTAAATTTTGCATCATGTTGTTCCTCTTATTTAAATATGTTAATTATTTAAATATATTAAATCCAACTCTTACAATATATCTAATATATATTTGAGTTCCTTACTTTGAAAAATTATATAATTTGATTCATAAAATTAAAATATATTGTTACAAAAGAAGAAAAGTTTCAGACTATTTTTCACAACTATTTAATTTGACGAATATGATGCAACGACGCCATTACCAGATAAATAATTAATCGTGCAAGTGCACATGTTTTTTCACTCACCAAATGATGCTCAATCGCTGCTGTTCTGGATCTGCTTGTTGTATCTGCTTTATTATTGTCCTGAATCACTATATTTACTGCAGTGCTGTGGTATCACCAACTGATTCTAGAAATATAATAAATAACAATTATTCATTATTTGAACAACATTTTCATGTATAAAATTAATAAAATAATTTATATATATATATATATATATATATATATATAAATATATAAAATTAATTAAATAATTTATTTTTAATCTTCCAATTAATCTCATTCCTATTTTTTTACTTAAAACGTATAAAAAAAATTCAAATAAAAGAAAATATTTAGTGAAAGAAAATTAAAAACAAAACAAAAACAAAAATATATAATATATGATATATATTTATATATGATATATATTTTATTTATCATATAAAAAATATTTTTTATTGATATTAAATATTGTTTCATAAATCTTGTCAAATAGATGTCAAAATATCCTCGGGATTATAAGATCGATTTTTATCTCGATTATAAAATTGATTTTTCGAACGAACAAATCTCAAAACTTTATCCGTGTCGAAAATCAAGATAATTGACTTCATAGAAAATCTCGCTCGCTCCCGGTCAAACTAGCATCAGCAAGATTTATGGGACAATTCTTAGAAGTAATCGAATCCCTGCTCCGATTAAGATGACGGCGTACATCTCGAATATAATGAACGGATATCAGTTCGTTGTGTACGTACTCGTGCGTGAACGCACTAATTTTTTTTATTTATAAATCGTGTAAACGAAAAAAGATATTTATACACGTTTTTAAGCATGTTTAAAGGCGTAATTATGTCAAATTCATATAATTAATTCATGTAATGGATTGATATACTCACCGAGCTGTTTCTGCTGCCGATTCATCCTCAAGGATAATAACACACACTTGATAACGATGAATAACGAAAATTTAAATCGACATTCCCGACATTTTAATCTGTCGCGACGCAACAGGTACGCGGTATCGCACTTTACGAAGGAACGCGATCGTTTTCACACATCACACCGTAATTAACACCATCATGTCACATTCGACACTTTCGACACTTTCGAAATCGAAGATTCCATCGGAAAGAATGCGAGAAGCACGTCTCGGAGATGTTTAAAATAGACGCGATGCGAATATGAATAGCCGAGTGACTACGAAGGTTGTGATAAAGGATGTATGAATTGACGACGCAAACGCGAGGAATGTCGTGAATGAAAATCACGTCGGAGTTTCGTACCTTCGTCGAGAGCCAATTAATATCGTAGGACGATTGCTGGACACTTTACCGCACGACCGATTTCACAAATGACGAAAAGCGCGAAGTACGTCGTACTCGACGCGAAAATAAATATGGCGGCCCGAAGAGAGCCGAAAAGTTACGAGGCGAGCCGAGCAAGCGGCGCTACGTGAGTGACGTAGCAGGGAGAGGACGCTTGAATGTTATGACGCGAGAAATAAAAACGCAGAAAGAAATAAGAAAATCGTTTACCTCGAAATTTTGTTTTCTCCGAAAATCAACTGATATCGTACGATTACTGCCTGCTATTTTATTCTCGAGATTTTATCACACGATGAAATATTTGTATCCTTCACGCGTTTAATTCTTCGCGAATACTCAACAAATACACGTACGCGATTATTTTTACGTATCGTATTGCAATTAACACATTATTACAACCGTTTGATTTTACGTTCAACACTCCTGTGATCGTATTTGTGTACGATTCGACTACGAAAAATGCGAGAAATACGGAAAACTTGACGGTCGGACACGGCACGAAAATAAATATGGTGGCCCGAAGAGAGCCGAAAAGTTACGAGACGAGCTGAGCAAGCGGCGCTACGTGAATGACGTAGCAGAGAGAGGACGCTTGAATGTTATGACGTTTCGCGAGAAATAAAAACGCAGAAAGAAATAAGAAAATCGATATCGTTTACCTCGAAATTTTGTTTTCTCCGAAAATCAATTGATATCGTACGATTACTGCCTACTATTTTATTCTCGAGATTTTATCGCACGATGAAATATTTGTATCCTTCACGCGTTTAATTCTTCGCGAATACTCAACAAATACATGTACGCGATTATTTTTACGTATCGTATTGCAATTAACACATTATTACGACCGTTTGATTTCACGTTCAACACTCCTGTGATCGTATTTCTGTACGATTCGACTACGAAAAATGCGAGAAATACGGAAAACTTGACGGTCGGACTCGGCACGAAAATAAATATGGCGACCCGAAGAGAGCCGAAAAGTTACGAGGCGAGCCGAGCAAGCGGCGCTACGTGAGTGACGTAGCAGGGAGAGGACGCTTGAATATTATAAGTTATAACATATGACGTTTCGCGAGAAATAAAAACGCAGAAAGAAATAAGAAAATCGATATCGTTTACCTCGAAATTTTGTTTTCTTCGAAAATCAATTGATATCGTACGATTACTGCCTACTATTTTATTCTCGAGATTTTATCGCACGATGAAATATTTGTATCCTTCACGCGTTTAATTCTTCGCGAATACTCAACAAATACACGTACGCGATTATTTTTACGTATCGTATTGCAATTAACACATTATTACGACCGTTTGATTTCACGTTCAACACTCCTGTGATCGTATTTCTGTACGATTCGACTACGAAAAATGCGAGAAATACGGAAAACTTGACGGTCGGACTCGGCACGAAAATAAATATGGCGACCCGAAGAGAGCCGAAAAGTTACGAGGCGAGCCGAGCAAGCGGCGCTACGTGAGTGACGTAGCAGGGAGAGGACGCTTGAATATTATAAGTTATAACATATAACGTTTCGCGAGAAATAAAAACGCAGAAAGAAATAAGAAAATCGATATCGTTTACCTCGAAATTTTGTTTTCTTCGAAAATCAATTGATATCGTACGATTACTGCCTACTATTTTATTCTCGAGATTTTATCGCACGATGAAATATTTGTATCCTTCACGCGTTTAATTCTTCGCGAATACTCAACAAATACACGTATGCGATTATTTTTACGTATCGTATTGCAATTAACACATTATTACGACCGTTTGATTTCACGTTCAACACTCCTGTGATCGTATTTCTGTACGATTCGACTACGAAAAATGCGAGAAATACGGAAAACTTCACGGTCGGACTCGGCACGAAAATAAATATGGCGACCCGAAGAGAGCCGAAAAGTTACGAGGCGAGCCGAGCAAGCGGCGCTACGTGAGTGACGTAGCAGGGAGAGAACGCTTGGATTTTATGATGTTATGATTTGGGAATACAAGAGATGAAAACAAAGTCGATATTGTTCGCGTTGAAACTTTATACTCTTTCCGAAAATCACTTAATTCCTTATAATAATTGGCCAATACTTTATTCCCAATATTTTATCGTGCGACTAATATTTGTAGCATGCACACGCACATTTTTTTTCATCATATAACAAGTATACGACACGAACGCGGTTATTTTTACATGTCATACTATGTTAATACATTGTTATGATCGGTTGATTTCATATTCGACGCTTCAATGATCGTATTTGTATTTATGATTCGATTATAAAAAGTAAAAAGCACGGAAAACTTTGACGGACTCTTCGTAAAAATAAATAAGGTAAACCAGGAGTGAGAATCGAAGAGAAATGAGGCGAGTGAAAACACGTAACATAGAATATATAAATTACTTATAAAGATAACGAAATATAACAATTACTATTATTATTAATATTTCTCTTTCCAAACAGGAACATGTACATATTTGTACATATGTGTATATACGTACGTTCATGAGAAAAAGATAACATCTTAAATAATACTATTCTTTTCATGCAGATATTTTCCACGACGACTACATTTATATGTCATCTTTCATTGGATTTAATAACATTTAAAAAACTAGACGCATAAATTACAGTTATTCTTCTGAAGAATGGATTAACTGTGATTGGTCAATCTTAATATTTCGGATTTTATTAAACCCAATTAAGAATGATACTTAAGGATGATGTAATCAGTGAAGATAATAGAAGCAGTCTATATATTCTATGTCTATGGCCGAAGATTACGTGATTATGAGCAGAGAAAAAGACAAAATGATACTATTAATATCGTAATTAATTCGTGCGCATCTAGAATCATATATATTATAGAGTTTATCAAAATTGTACCTGTTATAATTTAGCACTTGTAAAATATTTACAAGTGCTAAATTATAACAGGTACAATTTTGATAAACTCTATAATATATATGATTCTAGATAGTTATAAATATAGGGATATCTAAATATAACGTGACCTTTAATATGTTTCTTTTTAATGTATGGCAACATCGTGTGTTGAAAGATTTCTATAAATTACATATTTCGTTAAATTAAAATTGAATAGAAAAATATCATAAATCATAGTAAATATATTGTTTAATCAACTCAAAACTCAGTTTCAAAAGTTTGTATTTATATCATGATTTGACATATAATATAAACATAATATAATGTATTATAATTATAATTAAATTGTATTATAATTATAATTAAATATTACGTAAATATTTGAAGTTTATGATAACCATATTTAATTACCATATTTAATGACCATTAAGTGATAATAATATTTAAGAAAATCCATATATATATTATATATCATAAACAAATTTTCAAAATAGAATGTAGAAAATAAACGAGGAATACAAGATTAAATAAATTATTAAATCTTATAAATACAACAGATTAGATTAAACAAAATATAAAGAATATTCTTTAAGATACTATAAAAGATTAACAGTTTTAAAAAGGGTAATTTCATAATCCTAGAAAGTCAACAGTAAAATAACAAACACATGGAACGCTCGAAATCTTTGAGAAAAAAAAGAATGATAATGATATAATTTACCATCTGAATCTAATCTGTACGAAAAGCTTTCTCTGAAAAGAAGATCCCGGTGCGCGCAGAAATTGTTTTAGGCTTATTCTTGGAAAAGCAGCGCCGAGAAAGTTTTGTCGCGCGTAGTATAGTGTTTTTATCTACCTACGTACCTACACAACATCGCGCGCTAGGCAAAGAAAGGGGTGGGGGAAATGCTTCGGTGGTGACTTTGGCGCTTCTTTCGCTCAGTTCAGTTCGCTCGCGACGCTCGTGCCGTTCGTGTCGCAGCGTTGCTCGGTGTGATTCTCTCCCTCTTGCGTGCGAATTCGACGCCTTATATCGACAATTTCACTTTATTATAAGCGCGAAACTTCAGAGTGCCAAACCGCGAAGTGCAGTGTTTCTCGTCGTATACGCGGAAAAAGCAAGTGATAAACGCACGTGCGTCGATGAAAAAAATCCCTCGTCTCGTGAAAAGAGCAACAAGTGAACACGTGGAAAATTCGCGCCACTTGAATCTCGCGCGAATTCGCGGAAGGTCAGACGATCTGATTTGGAACGCACTACAAGTTCGGCGCCAAGTTCACGCGATTGGGGAAAACGAGACGACGCTTCACGTCGCGAGATCTTCGCCGGTACATTTCGCGGAGAAATAAGTGCGCGTTGATAATCGTTGCCGCTCGTCGGAATCGTACAAAGGGCTCGCGCGTTGCTCGGTGAAAGTGCTGTGAGATACGTGACATCGCTCCCCGAAGATATATGATATATGATATTAATGGCGGCGGGATGAGTGCGACGGTCGTTTCGAGAATTTTGACGCAAGAGAGGAGAAGCGCGACGTGTCGATTCGCCACGTGAGAGACACGAATCGTCCTGCTCGAGATTATCGTGTTGAGTGCATGTTCAATTTTCGTGTTACGCGTTTTATATATATCGCAAAACGATCGACATGACGCTCGACGCGACGCGTTTCCGTGAATGACGGAGAGAAGAGAGGCGATAGCGCGCGCGCGAAGTGAAGTTCGGAGTGATTTTGCTGCCCTTCGCTCATTGAGGAATTCGCGGGACTATGTGAGTGTTCTTGTTAATGATCGCCTTTATTCGGATCGTATCGAGGAACTGCGGGAATTCTCGTGGACCATGACCACTGCCATGAAGAAGGGCCTCGTGCGTAACGTGACGTTATGGCGCCTTCTCGCTGTCGCTTTTTCGATGGTCCTGTGCAATGTGAACGTCGTTCAAGCAGCGCACGGATTTCGGCACAACTTCAAACAAGGTAAGTCTCTACCTGCTTTCTATTATGTGCGATTCGGAGTCTTTAAATCAATCCCTATTGTTCAGGGATTCCATTGAATAAGGATCTAAAAGTTTGCATATCGATTACAGATTCTTATAAATTTTTGTAGAATCCAATTTTTCTAATTAATTTATTTACGAATTTAAATTTTATTTGAAAATTATGTCTCTCTATAGTTTATATAAATATATAACTTTATTATTATTTTATAAATTACATTGTATGATTTATTTTTACCATGTTTCAAAAAAAGATTTTTTTTTCGGAAATAATTTAAAGACTCTTGATCCAATGTAAAAATTCGAAATTTAAATTCTGGAGCTACAATATTTTATAAAATATATTATAATTAAATTATTATTTATTTTGTTTATTTATTTATTATTTATTTATTATATACTTTTATAATGTTTGATATCATTTTAAAATTATTGTATATCCCAGCTCCATAATTAAAATTACATTTATATTTTTATTAAAATAGGAATATATTATATTTCAATACTTGTTCTAAACATGATAATGTCTCTTAAAATTTAATCATATTTGTATAATATCGTAATATATTATCGTGTATATATATATATATATATATATATATATATATATATACATACATATATACGAAGTATTAAAATATAATATATTATGATATTATATAAATATGATTAAATTTTAAGAGACTTGACACAATAGAAGTACATTGATATATTGCCTTGTGATTTGCAATATAGTATATTCCACTTAATTTTTTATCTATGTAAAAAATCAAGTGGAATATGCTATATATTGCAAATCACAAGACAATATCTCAATGTACTTCTATGTGTCAAGTGTTTTGAATTTGACACACTTTGCGAGAGATCTTTTTTCTTATTCAGATTATATGATATCTTCGTCGACATTGATGTTACGATGCTTGAATTTGTGTAACATAGAAACCTTACACGCGTAAATTATCACTTTTTATCCGTGTTGAATATTATGTAAATGAATCGAAAGAAAGTTTTCTAAACTCTTACAATTTAAATTTTTTACTGGAGATATAATTATCAAGGGCTTGATCCTACTTTACATAGTGCCATGTGTCATCGATACATATCGTTTTACGTCACTCGAAATTCTTTGTAAAGAAATATCTTTGTAAAGAAATATCTTTGTAAAGATATCATTCGAGATTCGAAACTTTCAGCCATGAAAAAAAGCATCAGAGCATCTCCAACATAATTTGTGATAATTTAAATATACAAGTAATTATCTTTCCAATGTCGACGAGGTTTAAATAATTATAATTATACTTTGTTATAACCGAAACAAATTAATGTCCACGGAACATTTTTTTGCGAGAATGACAGAGAATTTAATTATCGATATTAATGCGACATTATCTCGCATTCTTGATATATACACTTATATATAATACCCTTTACGATTTTTACGTGATGCTTACACTTCGATGATATTTTTCGACGAGATTAATTCTCGCGCGACGCGATGTGTTTTTCGCGATTTTACGGCCGAGTCTCGTTTCCGTAAATCTCAGCTGATTTCCGACGCGACGCGAAAATGAAAAAGCGCGTGTGTGGTCTTTTAAAATATTGCCGAAAATTCCGACAGATCCCGCGTGACCTCGTAAAACGCGCGTCTGCTGCGAGAATATTAAATGTCAGGACATTCCGCAGCTTCCTTCTCCCCTCCTCGAAAGATGGGGTGACTCTTTGCTTTATATTTAGCGGCGGCCGCGTTGAATCCGACGCACATAGGACGCGTCGCGAGTGTAAACGCAACCCTTTTACTCGTTACTCTCGAGAGCGATCAAAGGCATTCTCCCGGGGATATCGATTCTTTCATACGACGATATCGCGTGGAACGCATGTTCACAAACGATGAGCAACAGAAATATTGAGGGACAGGAGAAATGTGCGGAGAAATAGTGAGAGAGAAGGGGGAGGAGGGAAAATGCGAAGAGTATATTTTGAACGTTTCCGGTTGGTATAATTTAATGTAATTTATTAGCGCACTTTCTCGCACGTGGAGAATTTATTTGTAGACGTATATAAATAAAAATGTGATAAAATATATATCACTGAAGGAATTTATTTAAGTTTTTAATAGCGTCAATTAATTGAAGATTTTTAAAGCCGTAACGACGATTTTTTTAAGTATAATTTTTACTTACTTTTAATATTAATTAATTTAATATAACAATAATTTTTTCTAATTTTTACAAGAATTTGGAATTGTTTCAAAACTCTCGCATTAATGAATAAGGTATTTTACGATTATAATATAAATTATAATTTAAATATAAATTAGATGAAAAATGATACAACGATCAAAATTTTCCTTAAGATCGAAAAATTATGCGATTAATGTGACCTTCCATAATATCATTTTACAATTTGCTATTAAGATTTTGACATGTCTCTTAAAATAAACAGGAAAAGCTTTCACGTGTTTCCAGGAACATGAATTATATTTAACTTCTCGCTGTCATTTTGATCGTATCATTAACCCGAAGATTTAAAAGGGATATATCTGAGGATCCTAGACACTAACAATGTATCATGTTGTTCTAAATTCGAGTTGAGTTCTAATGATATTCCCTCGAAATATGTCCAATGGTTCATTTACGAGGTAATTAACAGCCAGTTAACTGTCATAGGTCGGCCACCGAGAATAATAAACTTTACTGGATGCTCGCATCCTTTATATCGTTTACACTTTCTCTCTCTCTCTTTCTCTCTCTCTCTCTCGAATTTTTTTCTTTTCTTCTCTTTTCAATTTTCTCTTTTCAAAGGGCAAAATTGCGCGAAAAACGCATTTTTAATGACGATTTTTAAAGCGATCGCTTTGCTGCCGATAAATAAAAATAACGGGCGATAATTAGCGTTTGCCGTTGGCTGCCTCTCCGATATAAGATGGATCGATCGATCGAGTTATGTAGTCGAGCGGGCGAGCCGCCTCCGATCGGATCTTCGAGATATTGAGATCGAGCGGCGCGTTCGCACCAGCCCGCTTCCTGTTTCTGCAATCCGGTCGATCGACTCGTACGCCGAGCGGCAAAAGCGAAATTCCATTCCGGAATATTACGAAATGCTATTCCTCTGCCCTACCATATATGTAGCGTACAATGTATTGCATAATGCTTAGGCTATCGCGTTGCATCTCACGCTCGTTGCATATTTACACTCGTCTCTCGGGGTTGCGGTTGTTTTATGAAAGTGGCCATTTCTGTCTTATTCAAATATTCGTTTCTGTAGGTAGAAAATGAAATTTGAGGCGTACGAAAGATATCTGGCAGAAAAAATACAGAGAGAATTTTCCTACGTTACGGAAGATTATAAGTTATAAGAGAGAGATCGCTGTAACTTTTAATATTCTATTTCTTATCATCTTACAGAAGCTGTAATAAAATCGGAAATTCTAGTATCGATAAGGTTAAATTATGTATAACACAACGTGCAATTTAGTAAATTGTTAAGCTAAAGACCCGCGTAAACTCATTTCATCACAATGAATGGTTGTGCAGAATTCTAGTTACATATATTTATATAACTAACAATAGGTAATACCTGTCATAAAGACGTAATTTTTACCGTGAAAATTAATGCTCGCTATATCATGTCATGGATCTCGTTTCCTGTTTGTGCGTAACGATTAAACGACCTAAAGCAATATTGCATACGCAATCGTTACGAAATGCAGTTCTATGCATCGCATTAATATCAAACTTTGCTCGCGTGTTTGGGTCATTCAGAATATTCTATAAAACGTTATAGCTTTATTTTAAACACATAAAGCGTTTATATCCTACAAACTTTCATAGTTTTACAACTTTTTTGAAATATCTCTGGGACAAAATTTTTATACATTTTACACAAAATTTTAAATCTTTTTTATGCTTACAAACATCGGAAATGGTATTTTTTGTGCAACTTATCAATTTTTTACGTTATTTTATAAAATTATTCTCTGATTAATGACCTTGTTTGGCGATGTCAAAATAGACGATGATCCAAAAATGATGCAGTTATTTTACGAGCGATTTTCGGGTTAATGTCATGCGAGAGGGACGATAATGAAGCGACTAGCTGAATCGAATGAAGATAAAGGGATAAAGATCACCGATTGCGGTACTCGAGTTGCTGCCGAGGCGATGGGAGGCGGTAAACGGACTTTATCTAAACGGCGAAGATTCGCTCGAGGGAGGATCATTAATTTAATTAGTTTCGGAGAAAGGGCGGGTTTAATCGTTCGCTCCGATGGATCGACGTGAATGCTCGTTGTTCGCGAGACCCGAAGAGGCGGGTGTTTCTGCTTTAACAGCCGCTACGATCGACGTTTATCTCAAAGAGCATTTGACGGAGAAATTTAAAGGGCAACTGATGATGCGACAGCATCCTGTCTCTTGATTCATCTCTCCGAGAGTGTCGGTATATTTTTTTTATACGGAAAACAATTTTCTTTATTCAATTCAAATATAATTAATTTTTCGTGTCGAAATATATGAAACACATTAATTAATTAAATAAATGTCTTAATTTCTTAAACAATTAATCAAAACATTAATCAAATAACACCTTAACTATAAGTGATTAAATATGTAATATATTAATTAAATGTATAATTAATTATTATAATAATCAAATAATTAATATAATTATATAAATTTATTAATTAAAATATTACAAGTTACCGATTAATATACAATATATATATATTTTTTTCATTTAATAGAATCTATTAATACTTTGACCAAAAATATTGATTTTTGTTTCGTTTTGTATCGATTTCGAAAATCGGTTCGCAACAGCAAATGTCAATCACTTTGATATCGAAATACGGCGGTAACAACATAAACAATTCGCGGTCGACGTTACGTAGCGCACCTGGCGCTTTTCGGAGCCGACGCGAGGTCTGAAATCACGCAGCGTGCCGCTCTCGAAATAATCTCATTCTCGTTCCGCGCGCGGTTC